GAAGAGGTTCAAGTATCATTCGGTCAAGGATTATGTCTCCCCCATCCATCCGAATCATCACAGCCTTTTATTCATGCATGTAATTAATTAATTATGTCATTTTAAATGGACACAAGGGCTGGCTGAACCACCATGTATCCATTCAGCCATGTCCTTTCATTTCTATAAATAGGCTAGTCCTATTCATTTTTAAACACACCTTTCATATATTTTAATCAAGTGAGGATTCTTTTTTTTTATCAAGTCCTTGGTGACTTTTATCAACTTATCAAGTATATTTATATTTGTGGCATCAACCTCTTTCCTTAATCTTGTGGTTCTTATCTCAATTATATATAGAGGGTCCAAGTCCTTTTATACCACCCCTTAGAAAGATTTGTAAGGCTAGGTATTTGCTCATTGTAACACAAGTTCTTCGTTGTTCTTTCAAGATACTACTTCACCATCATTTATTTCATAAACCTACACCATAGCCGAATTCTTAACTATTTTTTGCAACTCTAAATCATTATAAAATCCTACCATTTCTTCCTTACATAAACTACAAAGCCATTATATTTTAAGCCATTCATTTATTGCTGGTTGTTTTGCTTCCTTCCTAGATCCACAATCAATTAAGGTCCGAGTACCTTACATCATTATGGCTTTTCTTGTCATTTTCTAGTCTTCCACGCTCAAGCCTTTTTCGTCGCGATCTCATTGTCTCAAGTTCTAAGTAAACTTTACTCAAAACTATCTCAAGTAGTCTAACTTGTTGTGTGTCATCAACAAATGGTTAGTAGGTATGGAAAAGAAAAATATAATGCAATAGGGTGGCTTAGAAATAAGGAAGAATAGAAGAAAAATGGGTTACTTACAACAAAGTCACTTTGCAACCTTTATATCACCACAATCAATTAGAAATGCTTACTTGACTTGCTTGGTGATGAAAACTTGTTTTTGTGTTTTCAAACTTCTTCTTCTTTGTAATCTCTTTTCTTTTCTTTTTATTTGTTTTCTTCTTGAATGCTTGCCAATTCTTTGCTAAATTTTGAACTTTCTTCACTTGCACTTCAACTTTGTTTTTTGTATTTTGAATGTGTTATTGTTATTTCATGTTGGTTCTTCCACCAAAGCTCTGAATACCAATTGATGTATGGGTAATGTCCCTTAATTGATTATGGATCTAGGAAGGAAGCAAAACAACATGCAAGTAAGTGAATGACTCAAACAGAGTGGCTTGGTAGTTGATGTAGGTGAAGATGGTCGGCTCTTTTTTATGGTAATGAGGATTTATTTATGATGTAAGGCGAATCTAAACCCTTCAAAAGGAAATGAAGAGAAAACCTTATTGTTGTCCCGATCTAGGAATGGCTACAACAAAGAAAGATAAGTAAAAATGATTAGTAAGGATATAATGAAATGGATAAGTAATTAGAATGATAAATAAAATGAATAAAATGGAAGAAAGAGTTGGATGCGGAAGTATATTGAAGATGATATTGTTGGTGGCCTTCAATGGAAGATGGATGATGGTGTTGAAGTTGAATGAATGAAAATGGAAGATGGTGATGAAGTTTGTATCTCAAAAACGCCAAAGAATAAGCTATGCTAAGGAGCACAACCCTGGTCTTCACAAACTTGCTTGAGGGATGGTAATGGTGTCTTAAACCCACTAGATATGAAATCTAGGAATTAAAAGAATAAAATATGAAGGAATGAAACTAAAAGTATAGAAATATATTTCCTTAATCGATAGAGTTCTTAACGAACTTTGAAGAAAGATTAACTCACAAATTGTTTTTATATAATGAATGAGATCATTACAAATGATAAATCCTTTCCTATTTATAGGAAATAAAAGGCTTGGCTAAATAGGCATCTAATGATTCGACTAAGTACATGAATGTACATAATGCTTCAATTGAAAGAATAAGTCCTTTGGGTATAGTGATGGGTCAACTAACTCTTCAAAGGAGACATGATGATTCGACCAACATGCATTGAACCTTCCTTGGCCGAATGGTGACATGTTGGTTCAAGTTGGCGCCAAAGACTTCATTTACATGACATATGGGGGCTGGCCAAATGGTCATTATTATTGTCTCATACCTCTTTATGATTTAGTCCTCCATTTGATGAGATCTCTTCACCAACGTGCACCTTGATAAAAGGGTATCTTCATGATAGCAACATTCACGAAAGGTCACAATTATTGGAAGGTAACCTTTCATATTTGAGCTAGTTCTAAGGTGAATAAGCTATAGGTGAGCTGGCCATAGGTGAGTTGTAACATGGTGAGTGTTATGGTAGCTCCTTGTGAAAAGTCACCTTCTGGAAAGACACCTCTTTGCTAAAAGGTACAATTTCTGAAAATTTGACTTGACCCATATTTGAAGTATTCCGAGTGGTGATGTTGATGGTACAACTCCCCAGTTGAATTGAAGGCATTTTCTAGCATGAATCTTTAACTCAACCCAGCTCTGAGCTCACTTGTCTCCGAAAAACTTTTAACCAAGTGTTCCTTATGCTCTCATGAGTGTCCCTATATAAGTTCCCTTGCTATAGCTTGCATTATTCAACTCAAATCAGCTCCTATAGGTGTGGCCGAATGTACCTTCAAAAGAAAACACAATATAAGCTAAGTATTTAAAGTTATAGGTATTAAATATAAAGATGTAGGCTAAGGCTATAATAATAACTTCATGCATCACATAATAATGAATAAATATTATCATCATAGCTATAGATCTAATAAATGTATATAAATATATCTATGACATAAATGAGATTTGAGTAATGTATTATTAATATAATCATCATAATCATAGTGTAGGAAAATAATAAGATAGAGAAAGTCCCCCTTTGAGTCGCATGAAAGGTTGGAGATACAATGATGAAGATGAAGTTGAATCGGTTCACATCATCCCATATTCTTTTAAGTGATTTGTCCTCAAATCGAAAGGTGTCTTCTCCAAATTGTACGCCCATTCAATTGTTGTCGGTTTTCATTTACATGTCATCTTTATGAAAGTATTCTTATGAAAAGTCATATCCCTTGAATAAGTTCCTTGAATGCCCATGACCTGAAAAGAGAATAAACTTTCATAAGTAAGAGAATTATTAATTATGAGTAAATGAAAGTTGTACTCCCTGTTCTCAGTTTTGGGTAGCCCAAAGTTATCCCTTTTGAATCACAAGTCATATTGTTTTGAATGATAATTTCTTTCGGCACTCCAAAAGACATAATCTTTGGTTTCCCAAAGGTCACATACTTTGAATGAAAAGTCATAGCTTCTAGCCCTTGAGAAGATAATTCTCTTAAGCTTCTAGGGAGTATGCCTCTTGATTCCTCCCTTCGACAAACTGTGCCATTTGGAATATCCTGCAATTCAAAGAAAATTTGTTTGTTTGAATAAGCACTTGCAATTTGTCCTTTGGTGATGGATCATGTTTCTTGTATCACTTCTTGATCCGATACATCATGTTCTTTAAAAAAATATGTAACTCTTCATCTCCACTCTTTGAATCATCATGATGGTTTGTGGAGAGTTTTAACCTTTGAAACTTCTTAAAATGCTTGAGTTAAGTGCACAATCAAGCTCATATCGACAAATGCTCTTTCTATCATCATTTAGGGTAATACCATGTACATAAATAAAATTCCTGCAAAGTAATTAAATGTTAAAATATGAGAAATTTTAACAAGATCAATGGAAACATCAAACCAAGGTTGATGTTTAATGAGAGTTGGCTGGTGAATTCTTTTCAGAATTCACAATGCACTCAGAATGTCAACGAACACAACTCTTGGCACTTCAAGTGACACTTCTTTTGGAAATCCAAATGGCATAACCTTTTAAATATCAAGAGACATGTTTTGTGAATACCAAAAGTCATGACTATTGGTTCTTCAAAAGTCATATCTTTTAGTTTTCCAAAAGCCATGATTTTTGATTCATCTCATTGAAAAGATGCGTCTCTTGAATTTCCCTGCAAAACAAAAGAAAGGATACACTACAACAAAACTGTACATTTGCGGCGTTTTTTTTACATATATCGGCGTTTTTAAGCGCCGTAAAAAACACCTGTGGCGCTATAACAAACGCCGTAAAAAGCACCGCTGCAAATAGCGTCGCTAAAGTTCGCGGCGTTTGGTAACAAAAAACGCCGCAATAGGTAACGATATATAACGGCGTTTGTCCAAAAAACGCCGCAATAGGTGTTGATATTTGGCGGCGTTTTTCCTACAAACGCGCAATAGGTGTTGAGATTTAGCGGCGTTTTTCCTATAAACGCCGCAATAGGTGTTGAGATTTAGCGGCGTTTTCCCCAAAAATGCCGTAATAGGTGTTGAGATTGAGCGGCATTTTTCCCACAAACACCGCAAAAGATCTGGTATATAGCGGCATTTTTAGAACAAACGCCGTAAAATGTCATATCTATAGCGGCGTTTTAAGATACAAACGCCGCTAATTACCTCTCTATAGCTAAAAGAAATTGATTTTGCAAATTAAAACTAATTTGTCAAATGTTGTTTTCTACTCTTTTATTACCCAAATTTAACCTGTAGCATTTTCCAATAAACTTGACATCCATAACAACAAACTTAAAATCCATAACAAGAAAAATGAAATCCATAATAATAAATCAAAGTTTACATTAACGTAAAATATAATGTAGTTCAACATTATTAACTATAATAAATAATAATATCTAAGATATTTGTTTCTAATCTTACACATTCTTCAAAACTCTTATTGCCACTGATTCAGAAATTCATATGGATATGGCATACTGCTCTTAGAATTTTGATGTTAGAAAAAAACACTATAAAGAAGCTTCAAGAGAATCACATGCTGTTAGGACTTTGGACCTGAAAAGGAAAAGAAAACAATAATGCAAAATCTGAGCAACTGATAATAAAATAGATCAGACTATTTAAAGCTTAAACAAGAAATTATGTCTGCATACGTCAAATAATATCTCCAAAGATACCTTCTAACTACGGTAACTTCAACTTAGAGCACTGCACCAGCCTTTCCAGTAATAGGAGCCTCCTGGAAAAGAGTATACACCTTTAAAACACAATTTTTCCCTCAGATCCATGAAATTTGATAGGGAAACAACTAATTAAGCCCTAACAGGTTCAATATTTGTCTTGTCATTTACCTGTGCTAAAGAACTTGATGGAGGATTAGAAAACCTGGAATGACCAGGAAAAAAGTCAAATTTCAATCTCAACATACAGAAACCTTTTTCAATAAAGACTTCTTTAGGCATTATATATATCTAACAATGTAGGAAAGGGTGCTTTAGCACGGGAACATACCTGATCGCCCTAGCTTCTCTCTTTTCTCCTTCCACTGTATCAGGTTTGGCATATGGTGCAAATCGGGCTAGTCGAGCTTTTTTCTTCTCTTCCTCGTCAACAGCTGTAGAGGGCGCAGCAAGCCCAAACCTGGTAACCAATGAAAAGAATATATAAATCAATTAAGTACAACTCTGAGCAATACCATGACCGGGTAAAGGTGATATGGACAAAAACCTCTCTGCTCTAGCCTTCCTCTTCACCTCCTCAGATTGCTTTGATGTTTCTGATCCCTTTGAGTCGGCTGTGCCAAACCTGTAAAATTTGTACACAAATCAACAAACATAAAGAAAACTCGTGAAATGGGATTCAACTTCCACAACTATAGTTACTAGACCTTTACCGTATAATGAAATTCCTTCCAATACACATAAAATTGAGCCAAATAGGTAACTATGTGAGATTATAAATGCGGGCTATCAAGGCAACTATGTAATATTATAAAGGAGTTACACTAATTTCTAAAGAACCAACGGAAAAAATGATTAAGAGACAATAAATTTGAAAATTAAGAGGTTCTAAGAGATTCTATACAATCTAAACAATGAACGATTTCATGAATATTAATATAGGCTTCTCAGCGCACCAACAATCAACAATCGCATCCAAAGAAAAGTTATAAGAATATAAATTTTAGAAACAAAATAAAACTTCATCTTCTCTTCTCTTCAGAAATTCTCAACAACAAGGTATAAAAAACCAAAAGAAAAACCCTAAATAACACCTAAAATGAAAAAGGCAAAATAGAATTTACCTCTCGGCCCTAGAATTACACATTCTTTAAAAGAGTGATCCTGGATTAGTGGCAAACAGAAGATATAAAAATTGCTTCTTTCCACAACCCATAAATCAAAGTTTTGAGTAAAATACAGGGAATTATAAGGGGGGAAAAGAGAACCTGCATGCAAGATCGACCAAAGATGTGAATGGTGGGTCTGGTCCAAGGAATGTGATTATCGAGGTAACTGAAGAATTCTCATGAGACATCGTATGCTAAAAACTTGGGAACGTAAACTACATTGCTTCCGTTTCCAAGATCAACAATTTGGGCCTTTTTACCATAGTCGTTAGGGTTAGGGTTAGGGTTCATTTTTAACTTAAAATCCATCAAACTAGTTGAAGCAAGTCACCTTTAAACAGCAGAAATCTGGTAAAGCAGAAGTAGTGTAGTTTAAAGGGCGTGACACTTAAAATTTGTAAACTTGCGGCGTTTGTAAACACAAACGCCACTATAGTACAAGTGTATAGCGGCGTTTGAATAAAAACGCCACTAAAGTACGAGTCTTTAGCGCGTTTTTATAAAAATGCCACTAAAGTATGAGTCTTTAGCGGCGTTTGTATAAAAATGCCACTAAATTATGAGTCTTTAGCGGCGTTTATAAACACAAACGCCACTATAGTACATATGTATAACGGCGTTTGTATAAAAACGCCACTAAAGTACAATTCTATAGCGGCGTTTGTATAAAAATTCCACTAAATTACAAGTCTTAGCGGCGTTTGTATAAAAACGCCACTAAAGTACTACTCTTTTGCGACATTTGTTGAAAAAACGCCACTATAGATGAACCTATTGTGGCGTTTTTATAAAAACGCTGCTAAAGTTACCATTTTGTGGCGTTTTCTATGTAAACGCCGCTATATGTTTAAAATTAGTGGCGTTTACTCCTAAAACTCCGCTAAAAACGCCGTTGTAGAACAATTTTGCTGTAGTGATAGAAGAAGGAATAAGGTTAAATAAAATTTGTTTTTTACTCTCCTCTTATGATCTGATTTCATTATTCACATTTTCAACTCCAACATTTTCTACATCCATTCTCCTATGTTCATCATTTTCAACTTCAAAAAGCTTTTCTTCATTTCAATTTTCCTCCAAACGTTCTCTTTCAATTGTATTGTCTTTAAGTTGTTATTTTAATGCTTCAATGCTTCTTTTCAATTGAGTTTGATCTTCATTCACTCGGCTAGGAGATAATGGAGTCAATGTGACTTTTCTTTCATTGTGGATGAATGAGTAGTGATTTGTGAATCCATCATGGACAACCCACTTGTCAAATTTCCATGGCCTCCCCAAGAGTAAATGACTCATACTCATAGGCACCACATCACATAGAATCTTGTCTTTGTACCTTCCAATTGAAAATGGAACAAGTACTTGTTCAATGACCTTCAACTCTTTCTCGTCGTTCAACCATTGTAATTCATATGGACTGGAATGTTTAATCATTGTAAGCCCCATCTTTTCTACCATATATATGCTTGAAATGATTGTACAACTTCATTTGTCGATAACTACAAGCCACAATTTACCATTTACATGGCAACGGGTGTGAAATGTGTTTGTCCTTTGCTGTTCATCCCCCTATGTTTGGAAAGATGAAAGATCACAAGACATTGTTAGTAGAAAATAAAGAAAATTAAAACCTTACCAACACGCTTGTAAAACCTCACAATTTTCACTCAAAAGAAAAGTAGATGATCACTCCACTTGCTTTCGTGTTTGCTCTAAGGAATATATCTTGGCTTTTAGCTATTACCTTTCTGATCTCAATCACTTAGTATGCGTTTTTCCACTCTATCTCTCTTGTTTGGTCCTTTTAAAGAACTAAATCAATATTAGAACAAGTTCTTTCTCTCTTGTGTGTGTCGGCTACAATATAGGTTTGTATGGACAGAACAAGAAAAAAATGAAAAAAATAAAAGAAATGGTTTAAGGAAAAAAAATGAAAAGAATGAAATGGTTTAGGAAAAGGAATGAAATCAAAGAAGGAATGGGTGACTTACAACCCAAGAACAACACTTGCTGTACCCTTTCACGAGACACAATAAGGTTATCTTCCTTGGTGTAGATATGTCTTCCTAGTTGTCTTGATATGGTAATGTACTTTCTTTGGCTTTGACTTTCTTTTTGCTAAATTTTCTTTTCTTTCTTTTGAACTTTCTTTTTTGTTTTTTGTACTCCTTTGTTTAATGTAGGAACTTTGATTTCCTTTTGAACTTCTTTTTCTTTTATTTTTTTGCTGCACGCCAATGGAACTTTCTGTGTCCATCTAACTATGCTTTGAATACCACTTGATGTATGGAAAATCTACACCCTTCAAAAGAAAGTGAAGATACATACTTATTGTTGTCCCAATCTAGGAATGAAAAAAGCGATGCCCCTGAATTACAAGTATGGCTGCAACAAAGAAACATAAGTAAAAATGATTAGTAAGGATATAATGAAATGAATAAGTAATTAGAATGATAAATATAATGAATAAAACGGAAGAAAGAGTTGGATGTGGAAGTATATTAAAGATGATATTGTTAGTGGCCTTCAATGGAAGATGGATGATGGTGTTGAAGTTGAATGATTGATAATGGAAGATGGTGATGAAGTTTGTATCTCAAACACGCCAAAGAATAAGCTATGCTAAGGAGCACAACCCCCATCTTCACAAACTTGCTTGAGGGAAGGTAATGGTGTCTTAAACCCACTAGTTATGAAATCTAGGAATTAAAAGAATCAAATATGGTAGGAATGACAACCATAAGTATAGAAATATACTTGCTTAATCGATAGAGTTCTTAAAGAATTTTGAAGAGAGATTAACTCATAAAGAAATTTTATAAAATGAATGAGATCATTACAAATGATGAAGCCTTTCATATTTATAGGAAATGAAAGGCTTGGTCGAATAGGCATCTAATGATTCGACTAAGTACATGAATGTACATAATGCTTCAATTGAAAGAATAAGTCCTTTGGGCATGGTGTTGGTTCGACTAACTCTTCAAAGGAGACATGATGATTCGACCAACATGTATGGAACCTTCCTTGACCGAGTGGTGTCATGTTGGTTCAAGTTGGCACTAAAGACTTCATTTGCATGGCATGTGGGGGTTGGCCGAACGGTCATGATACTTACCTCATACCTCTTCATGATTTAGGCTTTAATGAGATCTCTTCACCAATGTGCACCTTGATGAAAGGACATCTTCATGGATAACAACATTCACAAAAGGTCACAACTGTTGGAAGGTAACCTTTCATGTTTGACCTATTTATAAGATGAATAAGCTATAGGTGAGCTGGCCATAGGTGAGTTGCAACATGGTGAGTGTTATGGCAGCTCTTTGTGAAAAGTCACCTCCTGGAAAGGAACTCTTTGCGAAAAGGTACAATTTTTGAAAATTTGACTTGACCTATATTTAAAGTATTCTGAGTGGTGATGTTGATGGTACAACTCCCCAACTGAGTTGAAGCCATCTTCTAGCTAGAAATATTTAGCTCAAATCTTGGTACCAATTTGAAAGGTAGGGGATACTTGGCCGAATAGTTATGCAACCATTCATCCTTGGCACTTAAAAGAGGCACACACATAGCACATGGTGATGTCTTAGCCGAATAGAGAGGTGGTTGTTCATTTCGCGCCCAATGGAAGCACATGCTAGGAACACGGGTTGGTTGCTCATAAGGTGTGCACATGGGTTGTGTGTGGTGTGGTCTCATGCATGGGTTGAAGGTAGGCATCAACTAAGTGTGTCTTAGCTCCATTCAATCTTGTAGTGAGCTAGCTAGGCATGTAAGGGCTGATGTGTTGCAAGCTTTCTATATTGACTTTATAAACTCCCTAGCATCTCTTTAGCTATGTTCAGTTGCACTTGGCATCAGTTATAGCAACTTGACTTCAAATGGTTCATCTAGCTAGATTCAGCTGCATGCTAGCTCCTCCGGTTGAGTTTGTTTTCCATAAGTCTCCATGAGCTAACATAAACTTTGTGAGCTAATTGTGAGATGTATATTGATGCTAAATAGCCCACCAAACTACCATAATGTGTTCTTCACATTGATGTTCCTACATGGATAAAGAAACTAAGGTAAATCAAAGTGATTGAGCTGGAATGAGTGAAAATGCATGCTTCCATGTGTGAATACATGATTGTGAGCTATAAAATAACATCATGATGTGGTTATGCCTATACTAGACCTAGAAGTAATGGAACAAGGTCCCATTACTCGATCCAGAGCCAAGCAATTCAGGGAAGTACTCTTAAATAAGTGTCTTGATGCTTTTGATTCATTTGACAAGCTAAGACCACTTAATACTAAGTTATATAATGTTTTAATAGCTGAAATCTAACTTAACATTTCCACATTTTAATGTTACTTGTTGCATGTAGTTATTTCAGCTCATTATTAAGTATGTTATTGATTCATATTAGTTTTACATTAATTTAGATTGAATTCATTGCATTCATACTATGACAGCATGTTAATCCTTCATTTCCTAGATCATTTCAATTCAATTCAGCTCACAAGTCATATATATTAGCTTAATATAATATCATTATAAACTTAGCTCATAATGTCATTCTTTGGCTCACAAGCATGTATTCACACATGGCAGCAAGCATTTGCATTAATTGATGGAGGACCTTGAAAATTCAAAGTCAATGAGATGAACAAAGAGAGAATATCTTCTATACCAAATGTCATGTGGAAGATAAAGTCTGCATAATGATCATTGACGAAGGAAGTTGCACCAATGTAGCAAGCACCCACATGGTAGAGAAGTTAGGCCTGAAAACTTCTAGGTATCCTCACCCTACAAAGTGCAATGGTTAAATGATATGGACGAAGCCAAGGTTACCAAAAAAATACTTGTCCCTTTTTCCATTAGATGGTATAAGGATGAAGTCCTTTGTGATGCGGTGCCAATGAGTGCCATCCACATTATTCTTAGACGTCCTTGGAAATTTGATAAGAAAGCCATTCATGATGGGTTCTCCAATGAGTATTCATTTCAACACTGAGGAAGGAAGATCACTTTGGCATATGCATCAAATTCAAGTCCATGAATGCCAGGTGACCCTTAAAGCACGTATACAGGAATGGGAGAAAACAAAGAAGGCTGAAGAAAGTAGTACTCAAAAGTTGAACATTTGTGCAAGAAGAGGAGATATCCAGAAGCATTTGTCCAATAAGAATGCCAAACTTGTGC